GTCTAAATCCTGGCTAACGCCAGGATCATAGCGTATGCCATCTTGCGACGCCACGTGTGAAACCAGCACTGTGTTGTATAGCCCCTTCATTGCAATCCTATTGCTTTCTCCTCTTTTCTTCTCTCTTCGTTTTTTCCTTTCTTCTTCCTTTCTTCTTCCTTTCTCCCCTTCTTTTCTCCCCGGGGGATCTAGAATAAACTGCTCCACCAGCATAAAATAAAAACCGTTTTTGTAGCCGGAAATTCGTGATGGTCGATAGAGTCATATGCAATTGACCCATCCGACTACCAGCAGAGGAAAGAGCCCAAACCAAATGATTACAAATACTGCTACTTCAGCCAGCAATTTTGTGATGTTTATCTATAGTAGAGGTGTCTATATTTTCAATTACGATTTTGTTTTGAGACTTCAAATTTTCTGCTTGTTGGGCCCTTTCCGGACCTCACAGGGCGACTCATCAGAAGAAATTCATTAGAACAAGTTCATTGGGGCGTGATGCGTGATTGGGACCAAACTTAAACATGAAATACAGATGATAGCGTGGTATACATATCGGTGAGTATCGAATTTCGTTTGGCATTAGGATTACCACCTGAAACGCTCAAAGTGCTCCCATGAAGGAATCAAATCAATATCAAGGTTTGATTGAATGTCGTTGATTGTCGTGAAGGGACAGCAGAAGACGCCATCCACGCGTATCCAAGTCTGAACTCGCACCAAAAGGATATCTTACAGCCACAGCTACCACTTCTAGTGCCATGGGGACTTGGCGAGAGTTCCAAAACCACTTTTTGAAATTGTTGTTGGGGATTCAGTGGTCAATTCGGAGACCAAAGAAACCAAAGAAACCAATGTGCTCAAACCACTGCATGTAATCAAGATAGAGGATAACAACCTATAGCTACTGTTAGCTGTGCATCGATTTCCTTGTGGTGAATCTATCAAAAGAGGCCTCGAGGCATTCCGCATTTCGGATCAAATCTGAAAAAACGGTTTCGGATTCGGGCAGCCGGAAATTGACCATGATTTTGGGTTGATTTCGTGCCAGCCGAATGGGTTTTTTCATTTTTCGGCCCGTGTGTAGAAACACTTTTTTCACGCTGGCACGTTCGGCGGGTCGAAAAGACGTGAAAGGGTTCGCATAGAATCGACCTGACAGACGGGGAAGGGTCGAGTGCAAGACGATGGCTGTAGAGTGGAATTCCCCTTGAACCGTATCTTCAAATCTTCTCTTCCCAGATACCGTGTTTTTGAAATATTCTCTTTCAGAGGCGCTATTCGCCGTCTATTACGATGCATCATATAGGAGAGGAGAAGAGCACTTGATACAATGGCGGTAAAGTAGACATATGACCGTTGTCCTGTGTTTTCAGACATTCTCGCTCAAGGAAAGTAGTACAGTACGATATGGTACGAACTGCCTGTACTTGTACTGCCGGTAACGGTACCAGTAGATCCAAACATCACAGCATTAAGAGCTAGAAACACGGTTACAATGTTTGGCAAAAAGAGTAAGTTTAACAGCGTTCAGTCTTCCTGCCTGATCACCATTGCCTTTGGTACACTCACCGACTATTTTCCTGTTTGTACTCTATAGAACTATCAGAGAAGGAATGTTCGGATATTGCAGACAAATCAGAGGACGTTCCTTCAGAGTGCCTCATCTTCGCGAGCGTGAAGGCAAAGCTTGATTCAAAGAACGACCCGTTTGCTGGAATGCCCGGGGGTGCTGCAAGAGCTGTGCGCAATGCACAGATTCAGCGACGAATGAGCACTCGCCACGGCCAAGGAGTTCAGGGGAAGAAGTCATCATGGTTTTGAAACTTTTGGCAATTCGTGATTGCGAAACCTTTTGTGCAATGGATTTGTGGGAACTGCCTTAATACTTCGTTTCTAATCATCGTATGCCTTAGAATCGGCTGTACCTAAACAATAGTTTTTCCTTATTCGTCGCCTCAATATGATTTAGGAAATGTAATTTTCCTCTTATTATTCTTTGGTTCTAAAAACAAAACTAACATTCGTCACTTATAGCAGCTATAGATCCTATGGAGTGAAAGTATCTCACATGGAGTCGTACCGGAATCGTTCATCACAGAACTGAAAAGGGAAAATGCGTAATTCCTTCGCATAGGTCCAGCAATACCAATTGTGTCTCACAACGACTTTTTGTTTCCTGGTTGGAATGCCCGCGTCTCTAGCTGTCATCAATTTAATTCCCTCCTACTGTATCTTGCTGAATTCTTGTTTTCTTCAATACATTCTCTCATTGGTAATGGAACTGTGTGTACTTTGCATAGAGAAAAAAATATGGACAGTGGGAACCATGATACCTGTTAGTATTATCAGCCTTCATACCTGAAAAAGTCTGTAATGGGTCTTTTTGCATCAAAACTGACATCTGGACTGCAATCCTTGAAGTGCATTGACTTTCTATGTTGAGTCATACTATCAAGCCTTCCATGGCTCCCCATTCCCAAACTCAAGAATTTTGACATGACTGAACATTAAAAATATCAAAAAAATTGGAAACATATCATATTGACGTACTCTCTATAGACCTTTGGTCATCTGGGCAGACTTCCAGTACTTCCAGCAGACTTCAAATCTTACGATCCTTTCAACAGACACTTTTGTTATACTCCTATTGGTTACTCAATATTCCAGACCTAACTATTGCTGGCCCTTCTAAATACTCCGATCGTTACTGAATATTTCATGCCAAAAGAACACGTTCCTTGGCCAAACCAAGACTAGATAGCGCACCTCAAAACCACTATTTTAATGCTCACAATTTCATTATCAAATGATATCAAATCCCTTTGATTTAGGTTAAGTCATAGTGAATTCACTTTGCGAAGTTCTATTGATCATCTCTTTACAGTCTACGAAACAAACAAAATCTACTCATAACATGAAAGTGATTATTAATGGTGCTACCTTCAACCAGAACCCAAAGCACAATTCTCCAATTCCTCTTTACAAGGAAGTATCCAGATGGGACCCTGAATCCAAAGCCAAAATCAAACTGAAGATGCGACACAGCCCTCAAAACGCAACACCAAACTACGACAAGGAATTCACCCCTTGGGATGGTGATACAGTAGAAGATTACTGCCAATTCAGATTCACTTGGAACGAAATCAAAATTGGACAAAACTTGAATGCTGCTCAAAAGCACCAAGTAATTCAATCTGCTATCTCCGGTCAAGCAACAGAAAATTTGATAGAAGTAAGCGATCCGCAATCTACCTCTTCAATTGACTGCAATTTTCTGTCCAGGTATTGTTGCCTTCTAAGTATATGAATTTATAGTATATTGAAGTATATAGATCTATCAGAGATCCTACTTTATCAACCAATTCACTCGTTGCTTGTAATATATTTTAAAAAGTGAGAACAATCTGTCAACTTTTGACTTTGACACTTTCCTCTCCAGCTCAGTGAAGATTCTCAGAAATTCTTCCTTTGTCAGCCTGATATGCTTCAAGTTTGATATATTTATCCCTTCACCTTCCACTGTAATCCGTACTTTGAATAGTATCCAACTTTGGATCTTCTTTGAATCTTCTTGTCTCTCCAAATATGTACTTCATAAAATTCAGTTTCAAAAATCAAAAAACAAACTGAACTCTACCCAGCTGACCGTATAGAAAGGTTACGAAAGAAATAGAGAAGAAGAATTCCAGATTCCGGTGGTCATGAATACTTCAAATGACCACCGTAGGAAAGTGAACGTACAAAGTACGAAGCTGGAGGAAAATCTGCGGAAAGCCCCAAATTGGAATGACTTGCAGCTGCATCAAAAAGCACACAAATCAATCCAACTCGGAACTTGAGCAAAACACCTTCAGATTCCAGCAAAAGGTAGAAAATTTTTAACTGCTAGGGGGTAAGGTGATTTTTAGACAAGAATCGGAGTTATAGGGGAGAGGAGTGTCATCATGAGCCTGCCAGAATACGTTACACGTTTCTTTTCTCCCAACACCGGACGAACTTGTGCTCAGACGCGTGAAGGGACCAGGGTACCAGTGGAGACCGTACATTCCGACGCATCAAGCGCGGGCATAAGTCGCAAGGGAGACAGCATAACTTTCGCCATTTCTCGCCATTCTCATTCGACGAGAACAGCTTTGGCCGTTTCCTTGGCCCAACCGGCGAGATATCGCCAATTTGAAATCGACAGTGATGAAAACGAAGATGCCCCGGATTCAGACCATGATGCTACACTTTCAGATGGAGCCCCTTCCAGAAACCCTCGAGGACCACAACCCGACACCGAGCCAGAAGATACGGGACCTGAGGACCAAGCTGAGTTGACCAATTATGAAGAGGAAAGAGAGGTCCCACTCAGCGCTTGGGTCCATCTCATGACAAATCACTGTCGAGTGAAATGTGTCGGACCCACGACGAACAGCAAGCAAGACAACATCATATGTGGCAAGCTAAAGAGCAAGTGCCGACTCCGCCTCCACAAAGAACTTCGAAGCAGTGGCGAACGGGCAGCCCCACGTTGGTATGAAGGAGTCCCATCTACCAAGGACATTGACAAGGAAACTGGGGAATTTATTATTCACGGTCAACAATATGGTCAGTGTCGGA